CTTGATCTGAACTCCCTGGGGTGCTCATAGCTTAGAGGAGAAGGTAGCCTAGTAAATGACGAGTTGTAGATGGGTGCGCGAGCACCGAAATAGAGCACATGTCCTATACATTGTAACAACTCCATCATTGTGGCAATGTACCCATGAACGGAGCATAAAAAAAAAAAAAAAAAAGTTTACGAATTTGTGTTGGACTGCATTCAAAGCTGCCCTGGGCCGTGGGTTGGACAAGCTTGACATAGAGCATTACATATGGAAATATAGTATCATTAACTTTCAAACAATGGGTCGATAGTTTAGGTTTTGAATCTTACAGTTCCAGTTGTCTTCTGAAGCTCAGTAGTCGACACCATTGTACAAAATTCTTTCTCTTGAATTAGTGCGCACAGAGTTGCCTGAAATGGGGGAAAAAAAAAAATTCCTCATTTGCCTTTGCACTCTGCAGCGTCTTGGTTTAACAGAAATTCTTTTGGTGATTTCCTCTCCCCTTTCAATAAAAGTTAGAAGCCTCCCCAAAGCCCTGGCTAACCACCAGCTATGTTCCCAGAAGAAGAAAATCTGCTGGTGAGAAGGGGAGGGAAGAAGACAGAAAAAAAATGGCAAAATATATTGGTCTTCCCGTAGAATAACAAACTGTGCGCCTTCTTACCTGTGTGCAGTGAGGAATGAATCCGTAGACAAGGAGTCGATCATTGCGAAACAAGGACGGCACCTGGGCTGGGGCCTGCAGGGCCTCAGGCGCATCTGGGTTGAGTTGCTGCCATTTGACCGAGACAGAGTGGCAGCTTGGAGAACATAGCCTAGTCATTTGGTCTTCTATCTATTTATAAAAGAGGAATTATTTCTCTTTCAATGCTCCATCCAGCATATAGTTGCTTCACATTTAAAATAAAGTATACATTCTATTCTTTGGGAATTTTATAACTCTTCGGTATTTTCTCTCACTCCTGCTACAAGGCACTTTCCCGAAAAGATTTTAAACATTATTTTATTTTATTTTAATTATTTTATTTTGAGGTGGAGTCTTGCTCTGTCACCTAGACTGGAGTGCAGTGGCACAATCTTGGCTCACTGCAACCTCTGCCTCCCAGGTTCAAGTGATTTTCCTGCCCCAGCCTCCCAAGTAGCTGGGACTACAGGCGTGTGCCACCACACCCGGCTAATTTTTGTATTTTTAGTAGAGATGGCGTTTCACCATGTTGCCCAGGTTGGTCTCGAACTCCTTACCTCAGGTGATCCACCTTAGCCTCCCAAAGTGCTGGGGTTATAGGCATGAGCCACCATGCCCAGGTAGAATTTTAAATAATAGCACGATCACATCCTTTACATTGACAAAGCATCCTGAAATTATTCCATTAGCTAATTACTGATATGCAACCTTGGTAAGAGTAGATTCCAGTACTGGAATAGATATTTCTCCAAAGAAGATACACAAAAGCCAACAAGTGCATGAAAAGATGCTTGACGTCACTAGTCATAAGGGAAGTGCAAATCAGAACCACAGTGAGATTCCATTTCACACCCAGTGGGATAGCTGTTATTAAAAAAACAAGTGCTGGCTGGGCAGAGTGGCTCATGCCTGTAATCTCAGCACTTTGGGAGGCCAAGGCACACAAAACTGCTTGAGTTTGGGATTCGAGACCAGCCTGGGCCCATGGTGAAACCCTGTCTCTACAAAAAAATACAAAAAATTAGCCAGGTGTGGTGGTGTGGTCCTGTAGTCCCACCTACTTGGGGGGTGAGGGAAGAAGATGGCTTGACACCAGGATGTCAGGGCTGCAGTGAGCCAAGCTTGCACCACTGCATTCTAGCCTGAGTGACAAAGTGATACCCTGTCTCAAAAAACACCAACAACAAACAAAAAACAAACAAAAAGCAATAGGGAAAAAGTGGTGGCATATGTCTGTAGTCCCAGTTACTCTGGCGGCTGAGGTGGGAGGATCACTTGAGCTCAGGAAGTCAAGGCTGTGGTGAGCTAGGATTGCGTCACTGCACTCCAGCCTAGATGACCGAGCAACGCTGTGTCTCAAAAACCAAAACAAACCAAAGAAAAGCTGATTGATTTCAGTCAATATGGAAAAGGAATGATGAGTGTTGGTGAGGATGTGGAAAAACTGGAATTCTGGTGCATTGGTGGTGGGAATGTAAAATGATGCAGCTGCTATGGAAGATAGCATGGCAATTCCCCAAAAAACTAAACAGAACGACCATAGGATCCAGCAATCCCACACTACGCACGTATCCAGAATTGAAAGCAGACTCACACAGACGCTTGTATACCAATGGTCATAGCAGCATTATTCACAATAGCCAAAGGACAGACACAACCCCAGTGGCCACTGATAGGTGAACGGATAAGCAAAATGTGGTCTCTCCATACAATGGAATATTATTCAGCTTGAAAAAGAAGGGAAATTCTGACACATGCTACAACATAGACAGACGTTAAAAACATCATGCTAAGTGAAATAAGCCAGACATAAAAGAACAATGTCCTATGACTCCACTTATATGAGATACTCAGAATAGGCAAAGTCACAGAGACGGAACATACAGTCGTGGTTAGCAGGCGCTGGGTGTAGGAGGGAATGTGGAGTTACCGTTTAATGAGTACGTAGTTTCTGTTTGGGCTGATGAAATAGTTCGAAGACAGTGATGGTTGCACAGCATTGTGAATGTAGCTAATACCACTAAATTGTACACTTAAAAATGGTTAAAATGACCGGGCACGGTGGCTCACGCCTATAATCCCAGCACTTTGGGAGGCCAAGGTGGGCAGATCATGAGGTCAGGAGATCGAGACCATCCTGGCTAACACGGTGAAACCCCTTCTCTACTAAAAATACAAAAAAATTAGCCAGGCTTGGTGGCGGGCGCCTGTAGTCCCAGCTAGTCGGGAGGCTGAGGCAGGAGAATGGCGTGAACCCGGGAAGCGGAGCTTGCAGTGAGCCGAGACCGCGCCACTGCACTCCAGCCTGGGCAACAGAGCGAGACTGTCAAAAAAAAAAAAAAAAAAAAAAAGTTTAAAATGCTAAATTTTATCATAAGGAAAATTAATTTCAGCAAAACATATTTAATAATTCACTTTAAAAAATCAGTCCATTATTTTTAAGGCAGAAATCAAACTATGAGCTGGGAGAATGACCTGCTGAGGAACTCCTGTGTTCCCGCTGGTGCAGTCCTGAGGCAGGGCTCACACCTGCGGCAGCACTTGCCTCTTTACGGCTCCCTTCTCACTCAAGGAAACACAGATATTCCTATTTCTCAGCCTTGGAAGAATGTGAGATTTCCAAATGTAAATATAACACCAGATGTTTAAAAAACATACCTGTTTTCTCCAACTGTGCTTGGATTTTGCATTAAAATATTCGAATACTCCGGCACCACACTGGGACAAAATCCTTAGGATGTGACGATTTGCTGTAGGACTGACATCATTTCACATGTTTTAATTTTTAAGACATTGGAGAAATATTTTTGAAGTACATGTTAACAGCGTTGAGAAAGCTCACAGCTCAATAGGAGAGACGTGACGTGGGGAAGAAATGTACTCGTGTGTAGCTGAGGTTCAACAGAGAAAGAGGTAATAGGAGGAAACATCTGAAAGTTTGGCTGATTTAAGCTCCCATCTATCAGAGGACTGACTTGCCCTTCAAACAGAAAAAAAGTTGAAATTCTTGACTTTCAGTTCACTGAGGGAGGGAGCAGATGACTCTAAAAACAACCCTGTAAGGTATCAGAATGTTGACAAAGATATCAACTTAATTTCCATCAATAACAATATTGCAGGCCGGGCGCGGTGGCTTAAGCCTGTAATCCCAGCACTTTGGGAGGCCGAGACGGGCGGATCACGAGGTCAGGAGATCAAGACCATCCTGGCTAACACGGTGAAACCCCGTCTCTACTAAAAAATACAAAAAAACTAGCCGGGCGACGTGGCGGGCGCCTGTAGTCCCAGCTACTCGGGAGGCTGAGGCAGGAGAATGGCGTGAACCCGGGAGGCGGAGCTTGCAGTGAGCTGAGATCCGGCCACTGCACTCCAGCCTGGGTGACAGAGCCAGACTCCTTCTCAAAAAAAAAAAACAAAACCAATATTGCCTGAATCTGATCCCAAAGGCCTAGAGCTGGCAAAGAGTGAATAAAGTCTACCTCTTAAAATCTGATACACATCAACATAGCAAAAGGCATAAAGAAGCAACTCGCACTCCAGCAAAGGGCATCTCTGCTATTTAAATGACAAGTGCCCGATTACTTTTCTTTCTACAACAGTTCTACAACTATCAAGAACTCCTTGCTTAGGGGAGTTCCTCCTGAAATATTAAAGAAAAGATCAATTATTTTTCAGAAAAAGAGCTTATGAAAATAATTTCCATGATGTTTTTCAACCTATGGATAACGACTGGATTTGTCTTTACTTTTCATATTAACTGGTGATGATCATAACATTGACTAGAAGATCCTTAACGTGGGTTACTGGTAGCTACAGCTTCTGTCCGTTAGCAGCCCGGTGAGGTCTGCCTGGAGGTCATGTGCTCTCAGCATGAGTCCAGCATAGCCAGTGAGGAGGTGCGCCCAGGTCAGTGGGACAAGCTAGAGATACGGATTCTTTTTTTTTGAGACGGAGTCGGGCTCTGTCGCCCAGGCTGGAGTGCAGTGGCCGGATCTCAGCTCACTGCAAGCTCCGCCTCCCGGGTTCCCGCCATTCTCCTGCCTCAGCCTCCCGAGTAGCTGGGACCACAGGCGTCCGCCACCTCGCCCAGCTAATTTTTTGTATTTTTTTTTTGTAGAGTCGGGGTTTCACCATGTTAGCCAGGATGGTCTCGATCTCCTGACCTTGTGATCCGCCCGTCTCGGCCTCCCAAAGTGCTGGGATTACAGGCTTGAGCCACCATGCCCGGCCTAGATATGGATTCTTATGCTGAATAATAACATCTAATATCGATTTGGTGCTTTTTGGGTCAGTTCTGTTCTGAGTGCTTTCTATGTATGAGTTCATTTATTCCTCAGCAACCCTAGGACGTAGGTATTTTCATGATCATCTTGGTTTTACAGATGAGAGGTTAAGGAACTTGCCCCAGGTCACACAGCTAATGAGTGGCCAGCCCAGGTTCTGAGACTCAGGCAGTCTGGCCGGGAGCCTGGAGCCCCATCCCTCTGTGCTGTAAGGCTTCTGTATTCTAGTGTCAACTTCCAAGCTTGCAAAAGTTCTGTGCAGGCCAACAAGAAGACCTCCCCGTGGGTCTGGACTGTGTGACCAGCTCTCTGAGACTCACCCGATACCGCAGGCGAATAACCTGGTGTGGGGGCGGCTCCTCTTCACCAGCTGCAACGTCAGGCTCTCGTCCTGGAGGTGCCCATCAGATACCAGGAGAATGTTCCGTGACCCTCGAGCAGGGTACAATAAGCTAAGATATCGGAGCGTTTTCCAGAAGTCTGTGTTCCCCATGGTAGGTGTGGCCGACTGGAGGAAATGAAGTGAAAGATTATGTTCTCCTTGTTGGATACAGTCACCATTTGCTGTCATCACTGACACATCTAAGGACAGTGTAGAGAGATAGTGACACTGAAAATATTTTCTTTCCCTAATTATACACTTGTGAAACAACTAAACTTATGTCCTTTTAGTTTATTTGATGTCACGCAGTAACTATAATATTATCACCTCATGCTTATTTGATTTTTTACAGTTTCCAGAGGACTATGACGTCTACGGGAAGAAATGTCCCATCCAATCAGCTCTGGATTTGCCAGCCTGGCTGAGGCAGCTGGTCAGTCTCAGTTTGCTTAATTTTATTATTTTATTTTCTTTCTTTTTTTTTTTCTTTGAGATGGAGTCTCGCTCCGTCATTGCCCAGGCTGGAGTGCAGTGGCGCCATCTCGGCTCACTGCAACCTCCACTTCCTGGGTTCACATGATTCTCCTGCCTCAGCCTCCCAAGTGGCTGGGATTACAGGTGTCTGCCACCACACCTGGCTAATTTTTTGTATTGTAAGTAGAAATGAGGTTTCACCATGTTGTTCAGGTTGGTCTCGAATTCCTGACCTCAGGTGATCCACCCACCTTGGCCTCCCAAAGTGCTGAGATTACAGGTGTGAGCCACCACGCCCAGCATTTCTTTTCTCTTTCTTTTTGTTTTAAACCTCAACCCATTTAGATGAAGCTGGCTGCATTTCAAGGGGAAAAAAACAAAGGTCAGAAGAAAACTTCTCAAAGCTGTTAATGCTGGTTGCATTAGGGTGGTAGGACATGGGTGGATTTTTTCTTTCTGTTCTTTTTAATTTCCAATTTTTCCTCAATGAGTTTATTATCATCTTAATTAATGAAATAAAGACCCCACCAATATACAAAAACCACAGGACTAGGGGTGCTCTGATGATGGCTTGAGGGGCCTAAGCCCTGGAGATCCCCCTAAAGCGTGGTAGGAAAAGACCCAAGAGACACAGGAAGCCTCTTGCACTCACCATGATGAACTCTGTTGCCGCGATATTGCTTGTGATATGCTTAGGATACGAAAATAACTCCTTGTAACCTGTGTAATAAGATCAGCATGAGGTGCTGCTTCCACACATTCACTTGCTTGACCACTAACAAACAATCATGTTACTTCATACCATCACGGCTGTCGTAAAGGATGTTATATATTTATGTGTGTACCTTCCTTTTTAGAAAACTGTTTGATAATTTTAACATACAAAAGATTCACCACAGGCCAGGCATGGTGGCTCATGCCTGCAATCCCAGCACTTTGGGAGGCCGACATGGGTGGATCACCTGAGGTCAGGAGTTCAAGACCAGCCCTGGTCAACATGGTGAAACCCTGTGTCTGGTAAAAATACAAAAATTAGCTGGGTGTGGTGGTGAGCACCTGTAATCCCAGCCACTGGGGAGGCTAAGGCCAGGAGGTAGAGGTTGCAGTGAGCTGAGATCACACCACCGCATTCCAGCCTGGGCAACAAAACAAGACTCTGTCTCAAAAAAAAAAAAAAAAATCACCACACTATTTTTCTAAATAATACATCATAGAGCATTCAAACTGTGATGCTTTACTATGCAAAATGTTGAGTCGAATTCCATGTGTACATGCAGATCGCTTGTGCAAAGGTGCAGGGCATTGCAATGGCCTGAGCAGCTTGGCCCCTGGAAGACCACAGTCTCTGCTCATGCCCTTTGCACTCCCCATGCTTGTCCGACCTTGGTCCTAGCAGCAGCAGAAGACCGTACCTCTGGGGAAAAGGGGCTGGGCCTTCTGCTGGATGGCACAGAGGATAAGAATCAATAGGACAGGACTGTCCCCTCAGTCCACTCTATGCACCTCTCATCCCCAGAGGTGCTGCCTTCTGGTGGCTGAGATGTCCCTGGGCCCCACCTGGAGGGTGGCACTACCTCCCTTCTAGCGGTGCTGGCTGGATGCTTCCTGAGACCATTCCTTCCAGATTTTCTATGACTGTGCTGATGGCAAATGTTTTGTCCTTAGACTTGGGACCTCCTACTCAACAGACCAAGGGTTTTGCATTTGGTTCAGTTGCTAATGCAACAGTAGCATTTATATCTCACTTACTGTGGAACAGCCACAGTTTAAAAATCCTGGCCGGGCGCGGTGGCTCATGCCTGTAATCCCTGCACTTTGGGAGGCCGAGGCGGGCGGATCACGAGGTCAGGAGATCAAGACCATCCTGGCTAACACGGTGAAACCCCGTCTCTACTAAAAATACAAAAAATTAGCCGGGCGCGGTGGCGGGTGCCTGTAGTCCCAGCTACCCGGGAGGCTGAGGCAGGAGAATGGCGCGAACCCGGGAGGCGGAGCTTGCAGTGAGCCGAGATGGTGCCACTGCACTCCAGCCTGGGCGATAGAGCGAAGACTCCGCCTCAAAAAAAAAAATAAAATAAAATAAAAATCCTTTACATATATTAGCTCAATCCTCCTCACAGCAACACTGTGAGTTAGGGACAATTATCCTCAGATCGCAGATGAGGAAACGGAGGCACCAGAAGTTCAAGTAGCACACCCAAGGTGACACAGAGCCTGTAAGTGGTACAGCTGGAATCTGGAACTAGGGGGTCCAGCTCCAGAGCTCTTGTTCTTCAGTTTCATACTAGGCTGCTCCTCACTGCACAGGCGGGATCAGGCACCCACAGCTGTCAGTTCTACAGAGCGTGATTCACATGTGGGGGAAGCACACGCAGGACCAGGGCCAAAGCGCACTCACCTGTGCCGAACTGGATAATGTTTACTTTTTGCTTCTCACCCACCAAGGACAGCGCATGCAAGGCAATTTGCTTGGCTTGCAAAAATGTCACACCCTCCATGGAACTGGAGCAGTCAAGACAAATAATCACTTCGCTCTCATTGGCTAGGTCAGGGAGGTGGACATCAAGATCGGGTTGAAAGACAAGCATGCAAGCCTGAAAGAAGAAAGAAGGTGCTGGACTGGAGCTTCTTGTCACTTCCACTGGAAAAGGTCTACTTAGAAAACTCCAAAACTTTCTAGTGAGGTAAACTAATGCTATAAAAATAGAAAGAATGAGATGTAATTAACAACAAGATGGCCTACTAGGAGTTCCAATCAAAAGTAGAATGTTAGAACTGGGAGTTTCCAATGGAGAAGACATAAACTTCTGAGAGATCAAGAATTAATATCTGAAAAATCATATAGCATCAACATTATAGAACAAATATATATATATGTATATCTCATACACACTATTCTAAGAGGAATATACATGCCATTGTGATTACTAAAATACACACACATAACTTTTGTTCCATTAATTAACCAATACTTAACTACTATCACATAAGTTTCCTTTTTTTTTTGAGACAGGGTCTCCCTCTGTTGTGCAGGCTGGCATGCAGTGGCACGATCACAGTTCACTTTAACCTCAACCTCCTGGACTCAAGCGATCGCCCTGCCTCAGCCTCCTGAAAAGCTGAAACCACAGGTGGGTGTGACCACACCTGGCTAATTTTTTTTCTTAATTTTTTATAGAGACAAGGTCTCACTATGTTTCCCAGCCTGGTTTCAAACTCCTGGGCTCAAGTGATCCACCTGCCTTGGCCTCCCAAAGTGCTGGGATTACAGGTGTGAGCCACTGCACCTGGCCTAAGTTTCTATTTTCATTTTAACTTAGGAAGAGACTCTTTGTCACAGCCACACAAAATGATCTTATTACCAACCACAAGTAATTGCTTATTTGTTTTTCCAGTATCAGTATTTTAAAAGTATAAAAAGTATAGAGAATACCCAACGTAATGTCTGATAGAACATGTTCTTTTGGTGGAGCTTAAGGTAAAAATGCCAATATGTACAGGCAAATCATCCACATAAGGGTTTTGGACGAAACGTCAGAAGTTTGCAATACTTGATATCATAAATATTTTTAGTTGTAGAATCTTGGGATGTGAGAGTTCATTTTGTAATGCTAGTTTTTCAAGACAATCAATAATTTGCAAGTTTAACCAACTTATTCTGAAACGTTTTTTCAATAGCGTCTCCTATTTCTAAGCAAAAAGGAGTATACCTCGCTTTGTTTTTCTGGATGTTTTTCAACCCACATTCTTGGGAGATAGGCATCAGACAAACCGATGTGGAGAGAAAATCCACAGAGACAAGGTCTCACTATGTTTCCCAGCCTGGTTTCAAACTCCTGGGCTCAAGTGATCCACCTGCCTTGGCCTCCCAAAGTGCTGGGATTACAGGTGTGAGCCACTGCACCTGGCCTAAGTTTCTATTTTCATTTTAACTTAGGAAGAGACTCTTTGTCACAGCCACACAAAATGATCTTATTACCAACCACAAGTAATTGCTTATTTGTTTTTCCAGTATCAGTATTTTAAAAGTATAAAAAGTATAGAGACGAGTCTGTCTGCTCTGGTTCGCCCAGGCGGAGTGGCAGTGGCCGGGATCTCAGGCTTCCACTGGGCAAGCTCTGCTCTCCGGCCTGGTTCACGGCCATTTCTCCTGCTCAGCTCCCGAGTAGTGGAGCGTACCAGTGCTGTGCGCCACACTTCGCGCCGGCTAGTTTCTGTTACTTTTTTTGAGTAGGGAGATCTGGTTTCACCGTGTTAGCCAGGGGATGGTTTCCGATTCTTGGCCTGACCTCGTGATCCCCCGTCCGGCCTTGCCATGATTCTGGGATTACAGGCTTGAGCCCACTGCTTGATTCGCTTTGGATTTATTGTAGCTGTGGCAAGGGTTTGTTGGTTTGTATTTTTTTTTTTTTTTTTTGTTTTTTTAATTGTTTTTTTCGTCACCTTGTGTGGTTTGTTGCACGCGGCACAGGATTGCAAGAGCTGTCATCAGGCACCTAAGGCATATCTCTTTTTGTCTGATGCTCATTCCCAAAGAATGTGGGTTGGAAAAACATCAGGAAAAAGGAAGGGCGAGTATACTCCTGTTTGCTTAGAAATTAGTAAAGCTGCTATTGAAAAATACGTTTTGCATTTCGAGATAGTTTGGTTAAACTTGGCAAATTATGATTGTCTTTTGAATTAAAATAGATTTACAAAATGGAACTCTCACATCCCAAGACTCACAACTGAA